AACCCTAAAACCCTAAACCCTAAAACCCTAAACCCTTAAACCCTAAAACCCTAAACCCTAAACCCTAAACCCTAAACCCTAAAACCCTAAACCCTAAACCCTAAACCCTAAACCCTATGGCAATCTTGAGCTTCAGCGGTCCGATTGGGACAACGAGTGCATGCTTGCTTTCAAGTGTCCCTTGATTCCCAAACCGAAAAACCACTGAACAACGACAGCTTTGGACCTGCTTCCGAACCTCTGGCCTTAGTGCGGCTAGGAGATTGGCTACGAAACCGCTTCCTATGACGGTCTTAGTAGCACCTGTATCTACGATTCCCAGGGCATCGCGAGTTGAAAAGCTCGAGAATGCACTGGCTTCGGTGTCATGCATCGACTTGGCTTCAGGTGATTGGGCGGTGCTAGCAAACGCACTCTCTGGCAAGCTAGTCCTGACATCAAAATTCTCACACTCGGTGATCATTTCCCCTTTGTGGGCTAAATCAATGATTTCCCCTTCATTGGTCCCCCACAAACCCCTCAGAACACCGGTGTCCCTTGATTCACAAACACACAAAACTTGTTTCGTATTCTCTTGAGTGGCGTTGAGCGTCTCTTTGGTCAGCTCTGGCAAATCCATGAACTCCAGTGGCAGCGCGTCCTGCTCATCATTCACTGTCACCAGTGTAGGAGCAACAGCTGTCGATGGGACCGACTGAGATCCACGTTGCGGGCATTCAGCCTTCCAATGGCCTTTTCGGCCACAAATCCTGCAGCTGCTCTCCATGATCCTCTGCTGGAGGCTCTTTCTATTGCCAGAAAACTTTGAGGAGTAGGGGGATCGCTTTCCTTTTTCACCCCCTTTCCCTTTTCCTTTGCCTTTGTTCTGACTTGTTGGCCAGAACCCACGGCTTTTTGAAGCGCTCTGACAGGCGGCGACGGGCATCCATGTATGATGATTGTGTCAATGCTAGATCTTCGTTGTCTTGCACTGCGTCCAACATTGTGGATTCATACTCCATGATCATGGCGGCGTCCTCGTCACCATCATTTGCAGAGACTCTCAATCCATTCTTCCTCGGTCCAATCATCGAGATTGTAGGTGGGCTCGTCGGGCGCTTGGTCGTGACCATCAGCTTCTTGGGCAATGAACGCATTGGCCTCATAGGTTTTGGTCCTTGGATTGTTCTGCTTTCCGCTGGAGTGGACCTCATGGAAGAATCGACTCCCCAGAAGCTTCAGATTGGATACCACCTCTCTGTACTCCAGTGAACCCTGCGATTCAACAATCAGTCTCTTCTTGTCTTCTGAGCTCAGGGCTGAGTTGCGAAGCAAGATGTATGCACGAAACTCATCCATGCCGACCTTCATGCTCAGCAACTCTTCGAATTGATGATCGTGCCGAGCTAGATAACTCTCATGGGTCTCGTCGGCTCTTTGGACTGTGCTGTAGATTGCACGCTCAAACCTTTCAAACTTGTCCTCCAATCGGGATTTTCCCCAAATCCCTCCAAGGGCCTCCACGATGGCCTTCACTCCCTCCAAGTTTCCAACACGCAGCTTCTTTGGGTCCAGTCTGGCAACTCTCTGAAAGGCTGATCCCTCACATTGCAATGCAACTCGTGGGGCAAGCAGGTGTAGTTGCTCTGGAGGCCATAGTGATGCCAGGAACTCTACTTTCCGTGGCCCTTCAGTGAGGTCCGTCTCACCAGGCTTGAAAGATGGAACCTGGCTCCATGGGAGATTGCTCAAACCTCCTGTGGTGACAACACCACCAAGACAATGTGCAACCTGTCGACTGCCTTGCGGCCAAACAACGTATTCACCGACTCAACCACGCAGTCAACAACAACCAAGCACAAGGGTCAGGTGTTGTCTGGAGCTTTAGCGGTAGCTCCGCTACCAATGTGATTGACACAAAGGTAGCAACAAAAGATCCTGCTTCCCTTGCACAGCCGCGTGCGTTTTCCACTCACAGCGCACCTGAAGGTTGGTACGAACGGTCGGGCGCCTCGCCCTGCAGTGTCCTCACTGCTTCTATGGCTCAGGTCACGGGTGACCCACCCTACACCACCCTTGCGGCCTCGCACACTCGTGGCCTCGGACGTGAACACACCTGAGTGGGTCAAGACTGGTTCCTCAGTGACCGAAAGGTTCGAAATTCACAAGTTATATATATATATATATCAGACGGATGAAGCCAAGATTCGTTCAAGTGGCTCTCCTGCTCCGCCTCCACCTCCTTCCTGAACCTCAGGCTCTTGCTCAGCTGCGTCCAAGCGCCTGAACTGAATCATCTCACAGCTCCCAAGCCGAGGAAGTAATCCTTGCCTGCTGCTCCGGCAGTTGCTTTCGCTATAGAAGTCGGGGTATGCAGTTGCCAAAGCAGACAGGTGAGCCTCAGGGCTTCCAGGAACCAAGGCCCTCCCACACCAACAACAGTCACACACACACAACGACCCAGCCATGTAGTTCCAATCTTTGACTTCTTGCTGTACTTCACCTGTCCTCGCCTGCAGCAATTGATTCCCTTCGGCCGTGGATTGCAGCTCTGCATACCGCTGTGATTTGTCATCCTTGAAGACCACCTCTGCCTGTGACCAGAACTATGAGAACTTTACCAACCGGCGTTCACAAAAGCCTACGGCACCATAACTGTGACACCCCCTCATGAAATTCAAAACAGCCAGGACGTTTATGTAGTTGGACCACGGTGCATAAACGTCCGCGTTGTTTCGTGTTGTTTTAGCCTTTTCAAGCCCATTTCCTCCAGGGCCACTGGGGAGAGCGTTAGTGCTTTCAAGGTGCTTTTAATGGGTTTGATGGTTTTTAAGTGGTTTTGTGACGTTTTATGCATTTTTGGTGCAGGCACATGCAAGCGTCACATCCATGCATGTTACACACTTGCTCGTGGAGAGGCAATTTGTATTATCACCTGTGTGAACATGAAAGGACTGTTCTTGCACACTTGTACACTCGATTCCGGAAGCTGGAGCACTATAGTATAGGCTTGCGGATGAAACGACGCTTCCTGTAAACCAAATACCGGACACTCGAACACGACAATGTTGTGCAAATGATACGGCACTTCATGCAAAGTATAAACTCGATACTCGAACAAAACACATCAATGTCTGCAGTCTCATGGCTCGCGGTTTTCTTGCAAGAGCAAGCAGCTACTAGGAACAAGGGCATCGCTACTAGAAAAAAACGGGCATTACTATCAGTAGCGTTCTTGCTACTAGGAGCTTTTTCTTCACTTCCTTTTTGTTTTCCGTTCTTGATGTTTCTGTTCACTTCCTTGTCCTCCGTCTATCTCCGTCTATTAGGGGTTGCCAACAAGAAGCAACGTGTACTTCTCATTGTAGCGAAACTCTCATTCTACACTGTCCCCCGTCAGGTTGAGGCCTCAATGACACAACTTCCAGAAAACGTCAGGGACCCAGGCAGGCTAAAGGTTTACAACGTCTCCAACATCCAAAATCATGACAAAACCCCACGGCCGTCTACGTACTGCGGACCTAGTTAGACCATTTTAGACCTCACTTCTTGAAATCCAACTTCTTCGACCTTGACAATTTCGTCCACGCTTGTCCACCAGACCCTAAGCGTGTTGTCAAACGTACAAGCATGTCTCACCTCTGCGCAAACATCCACGGGGCCGCCAGCGGTCTGAAGCCGGCGGCCGGTGCTGTTCTGCGGCGGGGTGCCAGTCTCCCCAGTGATGCCAAAGGTTCCACCTGCTTAGTAACTCGCAAATTTAGAAGGCCCACACAATCATAGACAGCCCAAACATGTATTGACAACTGTTGAATACTTCTCGACTTACTCACCTGCTTCAGCTTGGGCCCTACGAACACCACAGTACAGGCCTAACGGAATGGTGGAGCAGCAGCACCCAACATGCTGCGCTTCTGGATTGTCCAAGCAAACAGCAGCTCGCTGAATACACATATCCAACAAATATTCCCCATTCGGACCCGTGGACACCAACAAGTCGCCGCATAAGTCCTCCAGCCGAAGAACAGGAAGAACAGTTGGACGTCAAAAACACACTGCAAACTGCGCCAGCAAAGAAGACAGCTCTCAAAACGCTTTGCTTACAAGCTTCTACAAACTTCCTGAGCTGCGGCAGGTTGCTGCTCAATGCGGCATCCAAGGTGCGGCCTGCATTGCGCAACACCTGGTGCGCCAAGTGACACGCTACATGACACATATGTCACATGAGTGATGTAGGCGATCTTTTGGTCTGCTGAGCCTCCATCGTGTCCTGCAAATCTCTCCTGTACTTGCCACTTGACAAGAAGTCAGAGACTCCAGCTTCCAGGATGGTGCGATATTCGCTGGCAGTTTGACCTAACGAGCGCATTGAATCATGTTATGCTCCGATCCATCAACCCATGAGCTTAACTTGACTAGCCAGATTTGCAGCAAAATCTAGTGCAGCACAGCCTATGGTCAAGCAATGTGGCAAGTGGTGGCAAAACATTCCAAGACGAACTCAATATATAAAGAGCAAACAACTGTGCCCAAAGGAAGAGCGAAAAAGAAGCACTAAGAACAGAACAAGTTGGTGGTACGAGTAGTGGAATATAGAGAAACCACATGAAAAAAACACATAATTCTGAAATATTCTGACACTTTTGAGGTAACGAGCCACTCGATGTAACACTCAAGAGGCGATCTTTCGTTTGGTCTGAGGCCATAGTCGCCGCAAGCTCCTCTGGCACGCCCGCCACGTTAAAAAATCTTAAAAACAGCCATAGCATGCCACAGCTTAGAACTTCTCCCCTTCCCATCCTTGGACTTCAGCGCGATGCCTGCTTTGAAGTTTAGCTGCGCCATGGTCATGTTCTCCAAAGCAGCAACCAAACCCGCTGCTCTGGTGTTGATCAGCTGCAATGCTTGCGACCATGCACGACCTTTCCCAATATCGTGGGTCAAGGGTATTTACTTGTTCATTCCAAGTCAGGACCTGCCGTATTTCTTTGACAGCGTTTCGCATACGGACACATAACATTATGGACACATATGGGCTGCTGGCATCCTTCAGAACTTACACGTCGACATCCAAGGATGTGCACATTAATGTATCACTACAGGTATGCGTTTGTTGGACGTGCCGTGCCATTTCCAAGGGATGAAAACGCCCTTGCAAAAATACAATGTAAGACGACCCACACAGCAACAGCCGCGCTGCAGTTGTTCATGTGCGAGGCGTTGTACCTGCTACGAGGAATGGGTGCTTGTGTAGCTAACATTTAACTTATCGGATGAGATGTCTTGGATCGGCATCCCTCAGCAACTGCCCACACACTTTGCATGCTCCCGACACACTTTAAACATCTATCGACACGCTTGGAGCTTCGCATGCTTTCATCTAAACTCCGGGAGGTCACTGCGCTAAAGAGTTGTCATCAGCCAGGCATACTTTGTCGATGTCACTGTGGCTAAAGCCATAAGAAGGGATACCGACCTTGATCGCAAACATGTTAGACTGAAGGAACTCTTGCATGAACGAGGGCACAAATACCAACAATTACTCATGCCTTGTGAATGCTACATGACATTGCATGAACTCTACCTAAGCCCAGGATAGCTCCAATGTTATAGTACTTGAAGCCGAGGATTCTTCACACCATCCCATGTAAGTTGCATGGAGAAGTGTGTTGCACGAACGCTCGCTAACATCAGCTAACTATGGTCCAGTAAGGGCGGCTGGGCTGAGCGCATACAGTGATGAGCCACTAAGGTCTCCGCCAGAAGCGGAATGTTGCCGCCCCCGCAGAATGCGGCGCAAGAGTCGACTAACTCTCCTACAGTGTCGGTGGTCGGCATTTCGCTACAAAAATCCTCAGTCGGGCAAATGCTTTTGACACTGATTCACGGATGAAGAAGTACCTTGAGCCCAAAAGGGGCACAGCAATGCCAAGCTTCTGTGTTCGTTGTCTCCGTCTGCAAAACATCCAAGCCAACACCTTTCGTATCCTGGGCCGACCGGATGTGCAAATGAGCAGGAAGGATGGATATTGGCAGTCGAATCATTGCATATCAAACTCACACACGCAAAGACATATTATGTACGTTTTTTAAATCTGCCATACATATATAAGTAATTGTGCCTGATACCCCTATATACCAGTATATACCTATATATTATGGTAGTCACAAGCCAAATCTATGTCACTAACTGTTACCCAGTTGTCTGAAAATTGCACCTCAAGAAAAAGGAAACTGCAAGAACATTGCAGAATAACTGCAAACATGAGAGACGCTCGGCGGGACACAGCAAGTGAAAGTGCGAGAAGCTGGAGCTCGAAGTGAATTGGGTCAATTGTCTAGATTCTTAGATAGAGCCAGCCTGGGGCTCAAACAAACATTCAATAGTAGCTGGTTGGGGAACAATTGAAGGGAAGGGATGGGAAGGGGGTTGGACAGCAAAGCTGGTCTATGGGAGGGGGTGAGGCACAAGCTGCTGAGGAAGTATATAAGTAAGGCTCTACCTGAGGCTCCAGCTGGACTTGCTGGGGGTGGGGCGGCAAAGGCGCTGGCACGGGACAAAATGTACGGGTAACCATGTAAGGAACTTGTAGGCAAATTCTAAAGGAACCAGGCTGGGCTCTTGAGCTTGGAACTGAAGTGGTGAGGAGTGACCTGGACTGTCCGGCTTGAGGAAAAAGCGATAAATAAGTGATAAATATAAGGCTGACAAGGGGGAGGTGCGGTTTAGCTAATTAGGTGAGGCCAAGCGTGAGAATCTAGGAGTCCAGCGTTGTAGACTAGACTAGGCCACTAGGCCAAACGATTTGAGCTGCAATTTTGTTTTTTTCTTGCAAGCTGAACGCCGCACGTTCTTTTTAGCATTTTCTGCTTGCAATGTTCTTGCCGCTTTCTTGCTCGGATTTTGCAAAGGGCCCAAATAAATAAAGGCAAACAAACCCTAGCAGCATTGGGGGTCATAAATGATATATATATATATATCCTTCCTGGATCTACCTTGGCGGTGTGTTTAGCACCCATATTTACATGTTCCTTGAACCTATCTAGGCCAAACACACCCGGCCTGATAATCAAGGAAAGGCAGAAATGGCTGAACAAAGGAACAACAGTGTCAAGACTGTTGGGTGGCCATGCGTTTTGACACGCGTTTCCGGGATAGGGTGTGGTGCCACACTTGGCAAGAGCAGCTAAATGAACCCGAAGCTGATCAGTTTAGCATGGGGAGCGCTGAAGAACCAGAAGAGGAACCAAATCGCAAACCCTCGATGCCAATACATCTCACCTTCAGAAAACCTGTTACAGTAGCAGGCTCATCAGGTTGAAAAGATCCAAATTTTCAATAGATCCCGTCTTGAATTGAAAACAAAAGCAACAACTTTATCAACAATAGATTTAATATGGTTCAATATCTTTTTGCACACTCACTCTGTCGGCAGAAAGGTGTCCTATTGTTATGGAAGGACCCCTTACAAAAGTTCTCTTGGACAGTGTTAAATCAATGCGAAATAACACCGCACATTCATGTACATACCTGAGAGCGCTAGTAACATCATGTAACATCTATTCAATTCACTCCAACCGGAATAAATAGTTAGTTGCTTTGCATGCAAACGCCGAAAGGGAACTTTGCAACTTTGCGCATAGAGATTCACTTGAGGCCGAGGGTAGGTGACGAAAGCTAGCAGGGGTGCATCCGGACTGGTTGCTTTTCTTCAGTCCCTCATTACATGTACATGACGATCCAACAGTTGAATCACGGGAAGTCACAAACCAGGCGTATCAGATACACCTGGTTTATGTATGTTCGTTTGAGCATCTTTGTCGAGTGAAGTGTCAGCCATATGCACTGAGATGCCGAAGGAAGCTCAAAGGCACGTGTATCTGATACGCCTGGTTTCTGACTTCCCGTGATGCTCATCATTGAAGCCTTGAACCCTTAAACATAGCACTATAGCACGTACCGGAAGCGTCCCAGGGGGGAGTTGAACCCGCGGGGGGGGGGGCCCCCCCCCTACACGTGAAGTTTTCACGTGATTCATGATTCTCGAGGCTGCGAGCCCTTGACTTGCTAAAGCAAGAGCAACTCCAGCTAGCTGATGCTAGCTTTCGTGACAAGCTGAACTTCAACCCCAACGCTCCCGAAACGGAGGCGGAACCGTATAGACCCTCACCTACTTACTCGAAAAACCTACTTCGCGCTTGTGGTTGAACATGTCTTCATAACGCGTGTGGTTCATTTTGCATAGGCACGACATGGCGCGACCATAGCCCTCTTGTGTGTGCCAAAGCAAAAAGCCTTTTGTTAGGAGATTGGAGAGCGGCGGGGCCCCGGTGACCTCAGGTGCAGCGCTTGGTGAAGGCGGATGCACCTGGTCCAGTGGCGGCCTGTGAGAACCATGAGAATGTGGTGGCCTTGGTCATGCAGCAGAATTCGGAGCTGCAGAATTGAAGTTGTCGCTTTACGCCAAGGTCGGGCACTCCTTGAGATCAAGTCGAACGACGCGACAACTGTAAGTCAACTGACCTATGGTGCGACAATTTGCAGCGGACTTGGCTTCGGGATGGCGCCGGTTTCAACAGGTGTCAGTCTGGAGGGATTGGTCGGAGTACCAATGAATTGGCCCAGCTTGTGGGGGACAGTTCCGGCAGGGGCCATGGGAGCATCCGCCGAGGAGGAGGTAGCTCGGCCAATAACAGTCCCTCCGCCCCTTTCGTTTTGCAATCAATCGCCAGCTTTTCAGGAACATCGTTCGATCACCAATGATGAGGTGCATTACCAGCATCTCCAAACCCTCCTTAAACACAATTTGGCCAACCATTTAACCCACGTAGGCTTGGCCGCATCTCCCATCAGACCCCCATAACTCACATCAGCCTAGCCTGCCGGCTGGATTTTGTAATACACAAAGACCCTCTCTAAATCTATGTGTAAGCACTCAAAGTGAACACATTTCCACATGCTTTTGCATCACGCTCATCTATAGATATCAAAATGCACCTAAAATAAAATAGAACCTCTTTGAGATCCCAATGAACATGAAGGGTGTTCTCTTTGCTACGCAAGGACGCTCCTTTAAAATTAAGGTATCTCAGTATCTCCTGCTTTGAACGTGTGTTCAAATCAACTATTTTTCTACAGAACGAACACGTCTTTGAAACTGTTTCCAATACAGTAATTAATAACATATTGTCCTTGAGAAAGCTCATGCCTTCACGAAGGAAAGGAATGCCTTCCGCCACATGATAGGAGCGCACGTGGATCTAGTCATCTAGTCCATGAGAGGGCAGCATGCAACCTGATTAGGAAAAACTGTTCGAAACAGAGTTTCTTTACACCTGAAATGCATTGAAATGCTTCCAACAACACTTTTAACAACTGTCCTGGTCTATATGAATTTAAGAATCTTTGAGAAATCTCTTTCCATAGTGGGTCTCCTCCTATCATGAAAGGATGCCCCTTCAAAACGAAAGCATCTCCTGCTTTTAAGTCTGTTCGACAGGACATAATGCCTCTGAAGCTTCTACTTATATATATATTATATTCTGTACATATATATAATACAGTTAGGTTCTATGGATCCCACATGTTCTGATTCTATAAATGCTTTAAAGATGCTGGACAACTAAGAAGTAAAACATACAATGCACAATAACAAATATGTTAAAGGTCTCAGGGAAGGTACGGGGCAGTCTGTGAGTCTCAAATTAAATACATATTGAACACGTACGAAAACAGTTGGGCACTTGGTATGGAGCATATGCAACCATTCAAAACATGTTCTTATTTGCAAGAAGTCTGAAAAGAACTTCAAAAGGTAAACCTTTTCTGGGGGAGTTAGCATCCGTCATTTTCAGTGCTGGTTCCTCGGCGTCTTTCTTGTCTGTGAGAGCCGTCCAGGAGATTTGGCCGGGAATCTGTAGTCGATGTGCAGCTGAACTTTTGTGCCAACCCTGGCACCAGCATAAAAATTCCCCAATGCCTGGGCGGCCACATGCAACTTACAACTCAAAACCTTCCGTACCTCTGAGATGCCTCTGAGGATGTGGCAACTTCGGCATGAGATAAGTTCGTCGAGTGGAGCTGGTGCGTTGAGCCGAAAGAAGCTGCTAATTAGGGAACAGCACCTGCATAGGGACAGGAGTGGTACAATAAGGTGCCCGCCAAAGCCAAGGCTTTCCATTTGCCAACCTCTCTTCCTCGAGACTAGGCTTTTTCCTCGCACACTCCCCTTGATCAATGCCATGTTCAATTTGCATGCGGATCTTCTTTGAAGTCTACATGCGGACAGCCAAAACCAAGCACGTTCGTGTGCATCCCCAATATCTTCCGTGAGATATCCATGTATGTTCTTTGCCATGCAGTTTATGTACAGGAAGTGTCATGTCATCTCGGCATCAATCAAACATATGAGGCCTTCTAGCATGTGACACCTGACATGTCAAACATGTGACACATATCAACTGAATCACATGCCTCGCTGCCTCGTCAAAACGCGCAGGACTCTAGTCCTCGACGGCTCTGCTGAGAACCTTCTCCCACGTGAGGCCATCACCTCAAGGTGGAAAGGCCCGGTAGGGGGCATAAGCAAACCAGCGCGTGTCGAAAGACACTTAGGAAGGATGTTTGTAGAAAAGCAATTGAAAAGAACGCGCTTGTTTCAACTTGTTTCGGCATTTTGTTTCAAACACACCCATAGGTTTCTCTAGTGAGCCTAGTGAGATAGAAAGAATGGCCAAGAGCTCCGGTTGGGACTCCTGATCCTAATCTTAAATTGTCCTGATATGCTCATACGCTGTTCGTTCAGGAAATCATATGTGCCGGGACAACTTGTTGCCAACTTTCTCCAAGACTCCATGATTGGGCGGCGTCTGCACCATGCCAGGCACGTTGACAACATCTCAGCCACACGAGTCGATGGAGCCATTTTTACTGTCTCTGGGGGGCCCTTACATTCCCTTCGATTGAAGCATATGTATCAACAAGCAAGGGGAATAATGTGTATGGCACAACAAACGGCAGGTCCAAAGATAGTATAGTATTTCCCCAAAAATCCAGGAACCAAATCAGTCATGCGAAGGGTTCAAGGAAGCTACCCTCGCCCTCATCAAGGATCTGCATTGAACGCGAGCCATTCTGAACGTCGACTGTGCACTTCCCTTCTCTGCTTTCCAGGATGGAAAGCTCCCATGGCAAAAACTGTTGGAAGGTCTCTGGATTGGAAGTGCCGGCCAAGTCCACAGTTTTGGACCAAAGGAACGTAGGGTCTGGGAAGTTTGAAAGTTTGAAGCATTGAGTCAAACGAGAAGGGTAGTGGGTCAGGAAACTGGGGCAGGAAACGAGTCAGGAAACTTCGATGGGACATGCGCGGAAGGGCAGGAGGTGTTGAAAGATTGACATTGTGAGTGAGGGTACAGAGTTAGAACACTTGAGTGGGAAACGCGAAGGAAGAGGGAGGGGCCAGGGCGGTCTTGAAAGATTGAAAGTTGACGTCAGCAGTCAGTGACGTCAATGTACCAGTGTACCTACGCAGGAAACTTTGAAAGGTGCGCAACTGGACAACTTGGAACCCTGGACACTAATTGTGACTCATCCTAACTGCTGGTGAACATTTTGGACACGCACTTCTATCTTTCTGTTCGTCCATCAAGATCAACACCGCCTGTATAAACATCAAAGTGGACCACCGCACTTGTACGTAAATTGCGGTGCAACACAAAGAATCCGAGATGCAAAGGTGTGATACTACCGTGTGGGTCGCAAAAAACGGAAAACTACTGCAAGCACTGCCATATGGTGAGGAAGTCTGCAAGGATTACAGTAGTGAGTTTAGTGAAGGCCCAAATGCAAGCATTCAACTGCCTTCTCAGGTTTTGACTTGTCAAGCATGTTCCCTCCTATTCTATTTCTTGCGTTCTTCACGTTTTTTGAGATGCGTTCTATCCCTACATGGACAGATTAGGGTATGACAGGGCATTCCAACTTACGGCGCATCAATATATGGATACCAAAAAATATATGCAGTGCATAAGCCGCAAAAGAGAGGACGAAGGAGCATAGAAGGGTAAAAAGGTTCGAGGCAGACTTGCCTGGAAACCGTTGCTGAACATGACTGCGACCCAAGGACTCCTAAAGCACCGTGACCTGCCAGCCAAAGCCAAAGAGGCCCTAAAGGAGTGAACCCTCACAACAACCCCCAAAAAACCTAAAGAAGTGAAACCTTAAACCAAACCGAAAGAAACCCTAAAGTTGTGAAACCCGAAGCAATTCCAAAGAAACACGAAACGCAAAGAACACCTAAAGAAGACATGGAAATTACAAATCAAAGCGAAAAATCATAGACAAAAGGAACCCCAAGAAACCCTAAAAAATGTGAACCCCAAGGAAACCCTGAAGATGTGCAAACCGCAAACCAAACCGAAAGAAACCCCAAAGAAATGATACCCGCAAACCATCGCCATATCCATAGAAACCCTGAAGAAGTGACCAGCAGAAGAAGCGGAACCTGCAAACCAAACCTTGCAAAGGGGTTCTGCACCTCTGATGCAGCAAATGTGTTGAAAACTGATGGGTCCTGGGTGGGCAACACGCCCGCCTTTCACTATGTTTTCCGCTTCCTTCCGGATATTCCGGCGTAGGCGCAGACATTGAAAGAACAACAGTGGCATTTGTCAAGTTGTTGCGCATGATAAGGTTCCCTTGTCTTGGAACAGGTGGACCCTCTTTTGCAATTTGCAATGTGGAATTTGCAGGGTGTGCCCAGGATAATGGTTGCAGGCCAAAAAATGACAGGACCCAACCGCATAGAGAGCACCAGCTCAACCTGGGCACGGACAGGGAACACCAGCTTAGTCTGCGCAAGCGGGCCCGAACAAAACAGGGAGGTTGAGCTCATCCTGGGCACACATGGGCCCGAACAGGATAAAGAGCTCCCACGCGGCCTAGCCAGAATGTTGGAAGATATGCTAGAAAGTGATAGAATGTCAAAAGATATGGTGCGCAAAATCCAGCAAAAAATGTCAAAAGATACGCCAGCTACAACAACGCGAGGGTGGATGTCGGAACACGCGCCAATTAGAATGTCAGAAGATATGCCAGACAGGATGCTTGAGAGGATGTCAGGAGATGTGACAGTTAGAATGCCAAAAGCCTGGCCAGATAGAAAATCAGAGAGGATGTTTTAGGCAATTCGTGCTAGAATGTCCGAGATTCAATATATAGAATGTCCCGAAAGGATTTCAGAAGACGTGCGTGGTAAAATAGCGACAGATATGCCAGAATGCCGGAATATGTGCCAGAGAGAATACCGGCGAGGATGCCAGAAAGAATGCCGTGTCAGAATATGTGTAAATTAGAATTCAAGAAAGGAACCAAAACTATGCCAGTTGCACTGTGAGAAGATATGCCAGATAGAATGGCAGATAGGATGCCAGAAAGGATGTCAACGAATATGCAAGTTTTCAATGCCAGAAGATAAGCAGGTAGAATGCGAGAACGTATGGCAGATAGAATGCCGGAAGGGAAGGTTTGCCAGGCAGAATAACGGAAAATTACTGTAAGCGTGCCAGGGTGAATGCATAGAGATAGATGTCAATGCCAGAAAGGATGCCAGAGAGAATGCCAGAAAGGATGTCAGAACGTACACACATTAGAAGTCCAGAATGTCAAAAGGCATGCCAAAGAATGCCGGAAAGGATGTCAATGCTAGGTAAAATGCAAGGAGGTTTGCCAAAACGATTGCTGGACAGGCGCCCGATAGGGCCAGAAAATACGCCCACGCAGTGCCGGAAAGCGCGTTCCATAGAACGCGCTGAAACTTCTATCAAAATATTTTTAGTCAAGGCAGAACGATTGTCAGCGTACGTGGCACAACGCCCGTGCGAAGATATTTCAGAAGACGCGTTAGAGTTCAAGGCAGGACAAATGTCAAAACAAATGCCACTAAGGACGTCGGAAAGCGCTACAGAACATTTCCAGCTTTGCAATAGATAAAGTGTCACGCCTTCTTTCCGACCACTCGAAGTAGAAAAAAAGGTGGGGAAAGAAAAGGTCTAAAGCCTAAAGGTCCCCAAAACAAAAACACGTATGCAGTATTCAGCCTAGTCGCTTTCAGATTCTGCGACGCGCCCTCGTAGTAGTTGCGGTTCAGGCAAGACCGACTGGCGAGCGCATGCTGTTACAGCACTGCGTTTGACAAGTGCATGCTTTCTGAAAAACTGCAACAGCAATACGCAAACAAGAATGCGTGATTCAATTTCCAGACTCTTTGCTGTAACTATGGCTGCCGCGCACTGCCTCTAAACAATGCGCGGCAAGAGCGCCAACCGTGAAGCATTCTTTGTTGCTCGGAAAGAGGCAACTGCTATATGTCCAAGAAACAAACCTTGATGACCTCTTATGACCTGTTGGCGGCGTCCTTGCCGCAAACCCTGCCTGGAATGCAGGCCCTGATGCCACTGATGCCACAGGAGGTGCTGCGTGCGCACTTTGGTTGCTGGCCACACGCGGCAGCTGTGGCTTCAGTCGCCTGCTCAAAGTTGACAACTGTATAAAGCTCCTTGCTTTGTCTTTCGATCAGCTTCGCTGTGGAACACTGAAAGTAAGCCATGTGCCGCAGCACCGGGCATACCCGGCTTTTCCGAAGCATGAAGCTGGGCCAAAGCTTGAGCCACCGCGCGTGGCCATGAAAAGCAGTGAGCCAAAGCTCAAGACCGCGTGCCAAAGCATGAGGCCATCCTGACGCCACTCGTGCCTCACAACCCTACATTCTCTTTATGTTTTGTTGGGTAAGGCTTCACGAAGCCGAAAGCAATCCCATCATCAACAGCATCTCAGGCTGAGTCATCTTCTTCGTGAGGCCGTCGCGGTGAGCGTATATCCATCCACTTCACCATGGCGGCGCCGTCCAAAGGGGTGTGGCCTTCATAGACCGAGTTGCCCGCCAGCTGCCTACTTCTTTCCGCCAGTGTTCCGCCGCCTCGCTGCCAAACTGTGTGTCCCTGAGCCTGCAGGCTCTCTTGATGGTACTCGAGCTCCAAGACAAGGGGCGCAAGTTTGCCCTGTTCTGTCGGCGTGAAGTTGGCAGGTGCGAGCAGGATCCGCCCGGACTGTGATCGATTTCCTCCGACCTTTTGGCCCAATGCCTCAAAGCTTGAAGCGTGGCTGGCATCCGTGATGCAAAATGCAATCCTGTTGATGGGCTCGTCACTTGGAGTGCCTGGGCATAAAATGGCTTGGTGGAGAAGGTGCTTAGGCAAAATCTGGCCTGATGTGGGTGAAGATACTGAAGCGCTATCCGGGGTCTGCTTTAGAATCGCAACGCAGACGCAAAACTGGAGCGTCTCCCCATCGCTCAAGCCCACACGAAAGCAATCATGTCCGCCGCCCAAGGGCTATTGGGGCCCTTATTCGGTGTTGTCGCCAGGCACCCCGCGCTGTTGAACTCAGGCGCCGCTTGTGCAGACGTGCTGCATGAGGTAGCTGCCGCTGTCTGTTGCGATGCCTGTGGTATGTGGTGCCATCGTCGTTGTTGTTGTCGTCGTCGTCGTTGTTGTGCTGGTGGTGGTCGTCGTCAATTCCATGCGCCGTCCAAGCTGCTTTCATCACAAAAACCATCAGACATATCCCTCAAGCTCAGGTCAGCGCCCTCGTCATACATCGTGAAAGGACATAGCCCTAAGTCCAGCACATAGTGACATAGTGAAAGGACGCCGTTCTCCTTCTTCAGAAATGTGGGCGTGGGCCGTTCGGTGGAGGAGTTGCACACATCATTGCTTCTCACCCCTGGCTGTGGCACAACACAACACCTGGCTCCTCCCTGCACCCCCCTTGCCTTTTCCACTTTTTGTCGACGCCATAGTTGAGGAAGTTGATCGCGCCCGTGGAACTCTTACCGGAGTCCTTGCGAGGCCTTTTTGGACATGGTGGGTCCTGACCGGTGACCAATGCCCCTTTTCCTGATCAATTTTGATGACGACGTCAGCATTCTGTGCGTGCTTTGACTGTCCTTTTTGACAAGGGCGTAGAGGTATTGGTAGCGCAACATCCTCGGGTAATCTCGGGTACATGCATGGGAAAAGCAGTGACATGCAAAAGGGCCTTTTGGGAACCGTTCATGGAACGGAGTCGACCGCCGCATCAGCACCGCGGCTACAAGGCTGAGGAGATCCATGAGTAGGACCAAACAGGCTTTGAGGAGCATGAAGGGGACAAGGCAGCCTTCTGTGCGGAGGATTTCAACCAAAAGGTTACTTGAAAGATCACCTCCTTAACAGCGGCGCAAACCACCTTGAGAGCGATAGAGCGAGGAGGCTTGTGCGATGGCTGCAGAAGCACTCAGTTGGCATACGGGGCCTATCACCTCCAACCAGACACGCAGCTTTGAGGTCTCCGCCTCGCTGAGTTTTCAGCCGTGCCATGAGCCTCTTCGTTGGTAATATGGCTGTTCGTCAAAAGTTTCTCGCTACAGGATGGCCTCCGGAATGGCAATGGGGCCATCCAAATTGGTGAGAGCCAGCCGCCATGCTCATCTTCGGGCGATGTACGAGCTCATGCTCTCTCCATACTGCCTCGACAGGATGCCGCCCTCTCGGCACGCTGCGTACAGTTCTTGAAAGCCCTCGGCTTCAAGTTCTCGTGGAACAGCTTCCGGAGAGTGTCAGGACCGCTGGACTTGGTGGTTGCTGCTGTGCAAGACGAAGTGCCTGGCCTCGAAGGCCTTCCACCAGTCAAGGCTGAAAGGCTCGAGTTTCTTGACCCCGCTCTCAACCGAGAGCTTCTCATTCTGAGCTGTCCGGACCCTACCACTCTGCGTCAAAGCCACCATCATTCGAAGCCAAAGGGGTCAATGAAGCCAAGCCAAGCCGCTCGCTGTCATAGCGCAAGGTCTCGAGCAGCGCCGACATGGCCGCGAAGCATCGGACTTGGCTTTTCCAAAGCATGAAGCTGGGCCAAAGCTTGAGCCACCGCGTGTGGCCATGAAAAGCAGTGAGCCGAAGCTCAAGACCGCGTGCCAAAGCATGCGTTCATCATGATGTCCCTTCGTGCTTCACACAAGTATCGGTGTGCTCATATAGCATGCAGGGCGCAAAATCCATTCGTGACAGCTTCAATGCATTGCACCAGGCGAAGTCTTTTAAAAACGAGTCTGAACCAAGCTACTAGACCTGGCATGATCTTGCGTTGGGCGTGAGATTGCTTGTTAGGTCCCAATGTTCTTGCTGAAGCTGGCTTCCTTTTCTCTTCATTGCCAACCACGCCCTACATCTCTTGGACCCCACTGAGGGCTTCGCAAAGGAAACTCTCAACCCCAACGAACGCAAACGTATCTTGGCTTGTATGTTTGTCCGAGCCTAGGCTTGACCGGGGAGGAATCCTCTGACATAGACACCCTCAGCGCACAAATAGCGCTTTGCAGCTTGAGAGGCATTGAGTTTTCTTTGGCGGTCAGTTTCTTCCAAAAGTTGTGTGTTCCCTCGGCACCGGCGAGGACAAACAAGTCTAGTCCAAAGGGATTGAATGTGCTGCAAGGTGCGGAGACGGACCTTCTTTCCTCAGCAAAGTCTTGAGAATGCTCGACATCCGCCTGCAAAGGGATTAACATGTTCAAGACGAGTATTTAGACAGAATCATGCAATGGGAAGTGGACAAGGAGAACAACACAAACTTAAAGGCTTAAACAACGCTCCTGCCACCAGAAGGAACACGCTGCTTTGGTTTGTGGTGCTGGGTCGCGATCGCTGCCTGGATCGTCTCTTTGAGAGCAAGGTTCATTGGGCTTAATCGTGCAATGATGCTCGGCAGACCGACGGAAGGAATGTTTGGCAGCTCCAGGCACCAGCCTGTGACTGCTTCACGCTGTACCACAAGTACTTGCCTGGGAAGTCCGACCGCAAAAGCACTCAAAATCCTTGAGTTGGTTGGTCGAGAATTGTAGGGAACAGTGGGGAGAGAAATCATGTCTCCAGTTTTCTGCCAAAGAGACTGTTGGTTTCAGCTTTCTCCTTCCGGCAGCAACAGGTCAAGCGCCAAGCGTCATATGCCCGTTTCCTGGCAAGTTATTTTTGCTTGTTGCATCTTTCTTTGATGTTTTTTGGTCTTTTTCGCTTGTTGTCACTTGTTGTCTGTCTAAATCTCTTGGCAACCCTTTGCCACTCGCTTCATGGCACCGTGCATCCACTTGCGAGTACCATCAACATTCTGCAAACAGCAAAGGGTGCTGCACCAATTTGCAAACCATATTCTTCATGACTTGATTCTTTCCACTACGTCCAATCACGTTCTAATTATTTCACGCATCCAGCCCTTGCTGACTTTCCCCAGCTTGGTCACCTGGTTTTGCGGAAAGTCACCTGGCTTGTGAAAAGTCATCCGTTTTATTTTACAACACCGTGGACACGCTTTATGGGAGTATATAGGTGATTAAAAACTATTGTACATCAAGAACTCATTGCCCTTGCACCCCCCACAAAAGAGGGGACCGAAACTCAATGAGAACGCACACTTAGACAGTGTCCAGTGTCATGAGCATCCCCGCAAACAAGCTTTAGGGGAAACATGGCTACTCTGGCCCGAGTGCAGCCAGTGAAAGGAAACAACCTATGTTCCTCCAAAGCTTATCTTCCAGGTTTATTGCAATGTTGAATCTATATAACCCGCATGGAAACGCAGCATCCAACCGACTTTCTACAAGACCAAACGACTTACAGTAACCCAGCTATCTGAATCTGCACGCTCCTGACACTGTGAGCAAAGGCAATGCGAGACCGCTCACGCTGAAAGCTGAGGTGACGATTTCGGTAGGCCTGCGAATAGCCTCGAGTCAACCAACGCAACATGAGCCACGTCAGTCCCGGAGGCGAAACAGAAATGACGTTGCAAACAGCAGCGACGTCCGGGCATCCAAGCATCCAGCACAAAATAAACGGACTTTGTTTTGACAGGTGTCATCGTGCAACAAACTTAGACATTCATAGTTACTAGTAGCGTCCTTGCTCCTAATAGTAAGGCCAGGAGCCCCTAGTAGCGTCCTTGCTCCTAGTAGCGATGCTTTTTGTTCCTAGTAGCTTCTTGTTACTAGTAGGCTTTCAGGGAAGTGAAATCCTCAGCCTTCGAAGCCAAATTGTGCCAAGACGCTTTCAGAAAGCACACCAATGAAAATGTTCCTTGGACATGCGAAGGGCGCGCAAAAGCAGTTGGGTGATGGGTTTGTCAAACGATTGTGGTAGCAATACCCAAATTAAGTCAAGGCACATCATCACCACTGTCATGCATAGTGATGTAATAATCCCAAGTGCCTGGCACCCCAGCCAGCCCATTGAATCATTGGTCCAAGATTGAAAACACTTATTGGATTTCTGTTTCTGTTATTGTTTGCCGTTTGGCGTGCGAAGCGTTATATATATATATATTAAAAACATTAAAAAACATCCTGAGCATTCGGCTGCTGCCAAATCCTTCTTTGGATCCTGGGAGCATTCGTCAAGCCAAAAAACACAAGAGCGGACACCCAAAACCATGGCACACATTGCAACTCACGCATCACTCATGGCTTTGGGTCCTCGATCTCCTCTGGAGTGTTCCACACTCGATGCTCCAAGTCACTCAGGAAACCCAAGCGATATATCACAAAGAAGGAATGGAAAAGCCGTTCCTTGGGCCAAGGCTTCGAAAGCACCCCTGGTCTTTCCATGCTCTCCGGCCCTCCGAAGGATCCGAATGTAAATTCTCATTCAAGCAACCGACCCGCCGCTGCTAAGCCCCAAGGCCACATAGGAATTTGTAAAGGCGCAGCAGGCTACCCACCTCGGCCATGTCCATCGTGTAAGATGTAACAAGTCAGTGTAGCGACTGCAAGCAAGCCAACTAACAGGAAGCGTATACCTGCAGGAATGTAGGATGCTTCTCCTTGTCTTGCAAACATCTTGGGCAAGGTACACTATAGCAGCGAAGGTCCTTGAGGACAACCTGAAGCAGTCAGGACTCGGCTTTAAACCTAAAGTGCTCTGGTTGAGAATAAGAACCTATTGTCTGTTTATCTATATAATCTATATATATATATATCATTTCAGTGCTTCATCATTCTACCTCTTGCAAAGCTTAATCAGGCTAAGAATTGCAAGGCTTTGCGCCCGATCCACTTTCCAAAAAACATTGGCTTCAATCAATGCCCCTGCGCCCAGCGACAGCGCCCGCTCGATTGGCAACACCTCACCAGGGCTGTCACAAGCCCAAGCTAGCGACAGTTCTATTTCGACAACTAGATGCAATATGCAATTAGACTGATGCAATTAGACTGCAACATGATGCAACCAGCGTGTTTGGACTTGAAACCGCGATTTGGTTATCGCCTTTTCCCCAACCCACTGGTAGCCACGGAAGGTGGTCAGTACATCACCCCATCGGAAAAGCACAGTGATGGCCAGGAGAATGCCTCGGTTCCGACAAACCAAAAACGGAATGCTGCCGCACTCGCGGCAAATGAACCTGAAATCGAACCAAAACGGAAGAGAAGGAAAAAACCGACTTGGAAATGAAACCCTCGGGGAAAGCATATGTGCAGTCAAAGGGCTCATGTCTGTGGATGGAATTGCCCAGTCAAACGCCAACATCCCCAGCACCGCATAGCTGAGACATAAACGACACCAGTCTAAGTAGTTCCCCACCTCTGAACAGGACCACAAAAGGATTAAAAGGGACAAACAATCTGACCAACATGACACCACCTATGTGACCCATCAACACCGCTTCTTTAAAGCGACGTCTTCTGAAATTTCGGCCAATCAACCGTCTTGATCAATAGTTTTCAAACGTATTCAATACAATTCAACACACACTCTTGACCTGTGACACAACGAAGCGACAGTGCTGCAGATGGAAGCAAAATGAACAGCTGCATCCAAGTTCCAAGGCACTGTAAACCAATACTGGCGCAACCTGCAACGCACTAAGCGCCTACACCTATGACAACGATGAAATTCTGGGTGTTTGGCCTGTTGGGTTCTTCACTGTGATAGAGCCAGCCACTTTGCAGGTCTGAGTCAGTGGAATCAATGTCGCATTTGGGCAAACGAGCGGCTTGCCCAGCAAGAACATGCCCTGCATCAGCTGGAGCTCCTTCACCAAGTTCAGCGTCACCTGGACAAGCACAAGCAAGAATTGAAGTTCAAAATGTTCAGATTGCTTGAAGAGAATCCTTTCGATTTCCTTTGCTCACGTGCAATCTTGAATGACCCGGAACTGATCACAGTAGGAAGAAGAACATGGCAATCATTCTCCGACACTATCTTTCCATTGTTCGTAAATTGGCAGTTGTGCGCGCTGTTCTCTGAATGCCCTGACCAGCACTGCAGACACGGCCAGCAAGAAAAACTCGAAAGTTCCTGCACTCCTCAGCATTCACAACACCATCTAAACTTCTTGTCAGCCCAAAAAACTTGCGCATAGTGGCTACCTTTTACATCCTTTTACACTAATTGAGTGTATTTGATGCCGCAAGGGTCAATTGGTTATTTAACTCGCTTCCATCCAAGAGTCTCGGCCCTTCCAATTTGCAAGTGCACGGTGATCACTGCAAACAGAATCCTTGGTCTGATGTTCAAGCAAATAGATTGTTTGAATTGAATTGTGTGCTCTGAACCTCTCAAGTCAAAAGAACAAAAAATGACCATCTAACTGTGAAACTCTGTGACATGACACACACACACACACACACTTCACGCACTGTCCGCCAGGATGCGCCAGTAAAATGCTGGAGCAGGAGTCCACAGTAGCACCGAACCACGCCTGACTCCAACCCAATGAGATGATGGCCTGGCAGCACATACTACGCGCTGTCTGCAGGGCCATGAACAACCGGTTCGTCTTCGGCAAACCTGCTCGTCTCACTACCTTAGTTTTTATAACATCTATAATCCCAAAGCACGCCTGGCAGCCATGGAACTCGAAAATATCTTCATTCGAGGAATGTGCGATAGCCTCAAGAACGGGTCATTGAGTCAAGACTCAAGATCGGGTGAGTCAAAACGAAGCATGTAAGTGTACACATGCTATTTTATGGATTTTGATGGGCTGCAGCACCCGCTGACAAGTCTGACTTGACAAATGAACGGTCCAGTACACCCTTGACAGGCCAACTCAGTCCAGAGCGTAAAGGACATACTCATTGTTCAGCACGTCCGGCAGAATGCATTGCAAAACACGTGCGGGAGCCATAAAGGTCCTCTGCGCTGTTTTCTGCGGCAAGAATATGGATGTTGAGTTTTCACTGCAAGGCAATGTATTAATTCCAAACAACGCTGACTTCACTCCTATTGTTCATCAAGGAATCAAACTGAAGCACTGCACCAGATCTGCGGCAACATGAGCCTTTGAAGATCTTCAGCGTGCAAAACATATAAAAAACAAGCGCCTTTGCTCTTCGTACTCTAAGTCACAAAGCCCGAAGCCTTTCTTGTTTTTCAATTCTGAGTTCCACTTTCACTTGCTCTTTGGCTTTGACATCTTTACAGCTTTCCTTCTCTTTGCCAAGGGACGGCGGAACTCTTTCAAACGTGGCTGGGCCACCAGATCTGTGTTTTGGGTCCGCAACCTTGCACGAAGCCAACGAAGACACACACTTAGATAAAGGCTCGCAAGAGCGAAGTCAGTTGTGATCTCCCAGTGCGTTAGCCCTTTATCCACTTCTGAACTTATGATCCATTTTCACTCGCTTCTTGCATTCTGTTCTCATCTTTCTTCACTTCCGCAACCACATTGAATGAGCAGCCAAATGAAGTCTGCAATTGCCCATGCTCAGGACTGATTCAAGTCACAAACTGGTGCTGCCATGTGAGCGTCTGCCAAAACGTACTGTCAAGCAAAGAACATACATAATTCAACAAAGTTATCGCTTTTGAGGGGGGGTTGCTCATGTGGATTCAGCTCAAAACACCTTGCGTGGATTTATTGTGGATTTCGCATGATCTCGCACGAAGGGCCACGCAAACGGCCAAAGCGAAAGACTGCAGCTGATGGTTCGGAACCGTTCCAAAGCCAAGCGGCCGGTAGTTGCTCCTTTGGTTCGTTTCCTCAGGTTTCAGGCAAGGGCGCAGTAGACTGGCGATCATGGTCAATGATGGCCAAGACCACCTTCAGAAAGCAAAAAGAAAAGGAAACAAGAAGGGCAAGCAGCAACAGCAAGAAGAGTGAAAAATATATTGTCTGTTAACTAACATGATTCGATGTATTTGAATAACACCTTGTTCGCCTAGCAACATGGGGTACTGTAATCACATTGTCGGGGAAGGTGGCCTTCAGAGGGAACATGTGAGCGTGCGTACTAAATGAAAGAAACCCAAGGGAGAATATGGCAGGAGGCTCTCGTGTCCCAGCTTCGAATTGCACAACCATCTGAGCACCAGTGGCGTAGTCCCATTCGTAGTGCTCCACCTGGAAAAAA